AAATTAAATCCGCGGCTAATTTCCAAAATTGTTATGAGTTTTAATTTTGTCCCATCTTCGTGTGGGCTTCTTTCAATTTGTTCTACATTTTCCACTTTATTCATTATTATTATTCCTCAAACCACGATATTTCATTCAATCAACATTATTGTAATGCTCCATAATTTCAGCATAAATCAAGTGTTGTTAAAATTGAAAACAGTTTTCTTAATCATAAAATTTTCGTCTGTTTATTTCATTCGAATTTTGCGGATTACTATTAGTATCCTGATCTGGTGTCAACAAATTAGGATTTGTAAAATTTATCAATTGTTTCAGGAGTATGAGGTCTATTTCCCTATTTATTTATATGATACTAATAAACATCAAATAGACCTATTTTTCAGAACGAATTCACATGTTTTTAAATTATTTCGGTGAAACTCTTTGATCTTTCACGACATTTACTCTCCTATTTTTAAATTTTAAGGTTTCATACTAAAGTTTTATTTTACAAGAAAGGGATTATCTTGCCGATAATAATAGTAATTATTTTATCTCTAATTCATAAGATTGGAACTCACAAAATGCTTTACGAGGACACGTTTTTTCCAATCCTCGTGAAATATCAAAAAGTTTAATTTATTAACTTCATATTTATTTTTTAAACGTTCTATCGTTTCATTGTTGATGAGCGTCCTATTACTTTCTAATTTTTATTTGATTACTCGAAATCACAATCGAAAGAGGATTAAAATTAGATTATTAGACCAATTAGATGAAAGTTGTCATTTTGCATGCTTGTTATGGAGCGAGATACATACGAGCTTTCAGTTGCTTCCAAACTAACCTGAATACAAAATAATTGTACGTGTGAAAATGAAGTGTGACGGGATTGTATTACATTACTGACACATGCACTTAGCAAAATGTAGGGGTTATTGTCCAAAAATAGAAACATTTTCTCATCCACAGCGCGAACGCAGCGCGAGCTTTGCGCTGAAACGTCTTTTTGGCCGGCCGAACTGTGCCAGGATGACCCACATAACGGCGAAAAATGCATCGCTATTTGGAAAAAGCCTCGTTTCTTTGAGTGTCATGTGAATAAATTAGCAGTTAAATTTGTGCATCTGCGCACTCGTGGTGCTAAGTTTACCTTGAAGAGTTTAGCTACTTTTTCAACTTTTATACGCAGTAACAAAGGTTATTTTATCACTTATAATATTCAAGAGCTGCATAAACGTGTTTATTATTCAAATGAGATTTTCTGCGTCGCCTCATGTACACTTCGTACTCAGGTTCAAGGTTGAACTGAGGGAAAATCTGGGTTGAATAAGCGTCAAAATTAAATTTCAAATGAAGCATCAAGTCAAATGATTTACGAATAATTCGAAGGACCATTTTCAAAATTTTGTTATTTTTCTTTTCAGGTATACCCGAATTCTAAATTTATGTAATTTGAATATCTAACTTTGAACTTAAGTAAATTTATTGTCTTGTATTAATTACACGTTGTAGACTCTATGAATGCCTCCCCATCTTGCGAAATATAGAAATAATAAGTTTTGTCACTTATTTTCACAATTGACTTGACCGCGCACAAGAAGAAACTGCCCACTCTCATAGCCGCTTCAATGATTATTTCTTTATGATTGTATTTGTATCTATAAGATGTAATATTATTATAAGCTTTAATATAAGTTTAGGTGTAAGTTTCAAGCATGTTTTGCTCGACAATAGCGACTCGGCTCGGGATATTGCTGACACTGCAGTTTTACACAACATTTACAGGTGCTTGATCACTTTTAAACGACAAATTAAATTTTTAACTTAAATTTTATGGACATAATTTCTGAATTTTGTGTAAAAATCTATTCACCAAACTCCAAGTCCGTCAGGAGTCCCACTAACTTGCTTTTTCTCTCATTTGTGCACAAACTTGATAGTTTTTTCACGGGCGTTATACGTAGGCTTCGTTCACAATTTTTTGCGTAAATTGTTTGAGTCAACATAGAACGCATTAACAAATTTGTTTAATCAATTTTTCCAAATTAGTCCGTATAATCATTGATTATTCTCATAATTGGCGCTCTTGTTTTCATTTATTAATTTCATGAAAATTAATTGGACAGACGAATTTGTTTATTATTTAGATGACGTATCGTTGTTAACTAACCTCAAATTGAACAAAAAGTCTGGTTGCAGGGAGCAGGAATTATTATCCGTTCGAAATTATCATGCAAAGTTGGATTCACTGATCTTATAATCACATCGCTCGTACAGGCAGATCATTTCATTAATTTAGTTAATACACGATAATTAACACGCTTGCCTTGCTTAGTGTTTATTAATTATGAAACTTGTTGGCTTAATGTGTTCTAAATAAAGGATCTGTGTTCAATCTAAAAGATTTAAATGTCGATTTACGCGCGCATCCTTGCAACTTTAACCCTCTAATCAGACGATTTTGCTGTGTAAAATGTAAGCTTAAATTTTGAAGCGATGTCGAAATTTGTTATAATCGGTTTAGATAGTAATTGTGCAATCGAATTCTCGAAATGTAGGGTTAATAATTATCAACATTGCTCTTGTAAGGTTCATTTTTTTAAATACTTGCGTGCCAATATACTGCCTCATCCACACTTAACAGGATTTGTAACTAAGAAAATACTTTCACTACCTCCACGGGGTTAAAAACGTCCGTATTGTCGTATTGAACAATTTTGGTTACTGGAATGTCCTGGGATTATGAGAAGAAATCTGCTTATTTGTCTTTTAAATTGCCCTATTAGTCTACTATTTTTCTAGAGCGACCATACTGACCGTCGACAATACGATAGCGAACATAGAATGACACGCTCAACGTGTCTTGAACGCAAGCATTTGGCCTACGCAGAAAATATTGGTTCAATTCGCAGAAAATAGTGGTTCAATGTTCTTGTAATTCTATGAATGAGCTGCCGAAATTGTTTTCACTAGCATGTAAAAAAAAGGTTTATAAACGCATGGCTTCCTAATTCGCGCTGGTCTTTCTTATCCTTGAATTTACACCGTTTGAAATTGCTGGTTCGATCCTACGAGTTCTCTGGTATTTTTACAATTATTCCGAATTCGAATTTCTCTACGTCAAGTATGCTCGAGCACCTAAAGGACACTACTTGGCATAGCAGCATTGAATCAATAATGAAATGTGTTAACAAAATATCGCTTTAAAGATCGTCCGAGATCCCGGCATTCGGCTCCAGTGTTCAGCGAAAACAATATTCCTTTGGAGTCTTTAGGTAAAAACTTAGATTTGCACTAGTTTCAAGGCGAGCGGATGAAATGAGCGAGCGGCATGATGAAATTAAAGAATCCTGATATAATAGCGCTGCACTCTCACAACGAATTGAAGAAGTACCATTCTGATGGTGAATACGAGGTGAAGAAGTAGTGACGAGCAGCGGTTCATGCAAAATAGACAACGGATAACTGACTCATGAGGCCCATTCTACCTTAGAATATAATTCATATAGGAGAAAGAAACAACGAATCCGAACCTTGCTGCCATGCGGCTTGCCCTCTCGTGGGAAAGGCTAAAGAATTACACCTCGACAGAAAAACAGGTGCTTGATTCAATGAGACGGTTTGACCTGAAACATCAACACCAGCAATTTTTTAACGCATCTCATGTCAAGCTTTATTTATGTTGTTATTCACTTGGATCTTTGACTACAAAGAGAAGAGAATCTGTTGTATGGGCAGCAATAATTCATGCATATGACCCTGCTCATGCAGGCTCTTTAGGTCCCATGTAATTCTGCACAGCCATTTTCGGTGGTGCAGGAGTCCAAAAGCTGCACTATTGCCTTCCAAGACGAATGACTGCCAACGACAAGAGTTCGATCTAAACACTTTGGGGACTTTTTCAGAGTTTACTGTTAGAAGTTCCCATGAAATCAATGAAAATGAAATATTTGTTACATTTAAGGTATTAAATCGACATATAAAAGTTGCGCATGAGAAGAGGGCACTCCACCGTGCGCTTATCTCAGTAATCTATCTTATTCAGACATAAATTTCTATCCGTAAGACGCAGCTCGGGATGGCCTTGCTACTTTTGCTCATTTCTGACTGGCGTTGAAGTTTATCTTAGTGGTAGCCATGCCTTAGCTTTTCATTATTCTTTATGATTCTATATTGAATTTTGAATTAATTATACTTCTCACGTGGAAACTTATGCCGATTTCTTGGTTAGATGTACGCGGCCTATTATGGTCACAAAGATTGGAGCAGCGAGTTGGATGATCGAAACCCTCAACCAGTTGTAATACGAGTAATAATGGGTCAGGTGACCGCGGGTGGTTAAAAATCGGCGTCATACCAACAAGGGTTGATCAGAGCTGCCACAATTACATTATTATTATAATCAAGCCGCGTACATCAGAACAGTGAAACAGGCTAAGATGAAATTTTTTTTATTTTTCGCTACCCTTTCCCTTTGAGGAAAAGGGTAGCGTTAAATACGAGTATTAAAAGAGAAACTAGCTACCGGTACGGTTGTATTTTCATCTCTTAAATGTCCAATGTCTTCGATGGCTTTGGGCTCCGATGAAAATTTCCATTACTAATCCGATGTTTGACGTTCTCATAAGTTTTCCAATGTGGATACACGATAATAATTGATGATTCAATTTCATTATTTTTCATTGGTTGCGAGACTTGGCTTTTTGGAAAATATGAAGCGATTTTAGCTTTATCCTTGTACAAGTAAAATGAGAACACCACCAAGTTAAACAATTATTTTTTATTCGAACTAACGAACTCGGAGTAGAATTTGATGGTTAAGTTCGAGTAATCTCCTTCCGCTAGACGATCCTTAGTAATGCGGTGCTCAAGCTTGGCATCACGTATTCCCGCCTCATGTGACCGGACAACAGAAATATTTTCTATCTTAAAGTCATCTCTTGATTGGTGGATAGCTTTGCACGGAGGCGTATATAAGCTGCGGCCACAGACATTTTCCTAATTAAAATCCCGGCCGGAGTACCGAGAACATCTTCCGTCCAAACAGAAGTTAGTAAACAGATAGACATAATTTCTGTATAGTAAAATAGTTGTATAAGTTTTTCAGTCCTGGTTGAGAAACAAATTATTCCAATCATGCTGCAGTTAGTGCATCGTTTAATTTGAGAAAGTGACCTCTAGAAGCACGTTGTGATTTTTAATAAATTTTTTTAGATAATGCACTATAGCTTATATTGCCTATATTAATCTCACCAAGAGAGTTCATTAGCTTTATCGTTGTATCCTTTGAAATTCAAGATTAATGCTTTTCTTTTATTGTGTCCGCGTATAACGTTCAATTGCTTAAACCGTTTATTCTTTGAAATCAAATTGAACGCTTCTTCCCCATGGAGCTCATTATTGAATATAATTTTATTATTTTTCCCCAAACATCGTACCCAGACTGAAGAAACTCGCGATGAGTGTCACCTTGCGTCTACTGCTGGTGCTTGGCATCGTGTCTACCGCGGTTGCCCTGCCTCCTCGTAAGTCAAATTTACATCAAGAAATATAAACAAATGTCAATTGACTTTATGATTATATTCAACAATCTTTGGCATTGCACTTGCGTCTTATCAGGCACTTGATTTTTAGAATGCTGAAGATATATTCAGTGTGTTCTTATATTAGAATTTCCGTTACTGATTATTTAATATTATGAAGCGAATTCGTACAAACAGCGTATATCTTAGTTCGGATAAAAGCTTATAACCTAATTTATTCCGCCGCCGCAGCCGAGCCGCTGTCTGCCGCCGCCGCCGCGACCACCACAAAGCCCCCCGGCATCCCCCCGGCGGTGGTGGACCTGATCTCGTCCCGCCTCGACGCCCTTGCGACCGGCGCTGTCCCAGGGGCGCCACCCGCCGCTTTTGTTCCTCCTGGCAAGCCAACTGCTGTACCAGCTCCTGGAATGCCACCTGCCGTAGCAAAGCTGGTTAAAAGCATGCTCAAGAGCTATGCTGTGCCAACTGTGGCTTGAATGAGGATTAAGTTAGCGTCTGCTGTTCCATCTGTAACTTTAGACTCGCCAGTTATAATGTATTTGTTTTAAAAATTAAACCAGCTTTTTCTAATTTAGCTGAGTATTGGTGTGCTAGATATTCTTTCCCTAAATTTTAACCTCTAAATTTGCATGCGTCAAATGTTTCCAATTAGTACTTATTACTGAATTTAAAAAAGAGTAATTTATTATTTCGTTCTATATACTGGATTAAATTTATAATAAACTTTCATGAACTTTTTTACCCCAGTACATTCAAATCGATAGTTGTTGTCCTTATTGGCCTTTAAAATTGACGATTATTGAATAGGGGGTTAAAACGAGGCATCATTATCAATTATCTGCCGACGTATTATTTGAAATCAACACGTGAAGAAAGTATATTATGCAGTGAGCGCAAATCAATCTAATTGTTATCATTTACTTATCTAAACCTTAAAATTCTTGTGCTTGGTTGCGGGTGTGAAACTCATTGCTGCCATCATCAAGCACTCATTTCTTTGGAACTATAAAAGTTACTGACAAATATTCTTTTCTTATCCAAGTCCATCATAAAAAATGTCATTGAAAAAGAATGATCTGGAAAAACTTTTATCAATGAGAAAAAAGTATTCTATTCGACTTAGGGACGTCTTGTGGCAGGTGCAAATTATTCATTTTGAAGGATTGAGAATTTACACACTTGTGAAAGAACATGCTAACGAATGCATCCCGATCTACGTGTTCACAAATAACAAATATTTATATAATCAGGTTTGCTTAAATCTTAAATCACCTAAAATTTATAAAACTAAAAAAATACTAGTGAAATTCGCCGTATTTTTCTTTTTCATAGGAGTAAAACTAGGAGCGTATATTGCAAGTTGATTTCGGGCTTAATTTATCTACAAAAAATATCTGCAGCGCAAAAATATTTTCAGAAAGAAAATATTCGCGAAAAAGTAAGAAACTTATCAAATTAAATGGCCAAAGTTTGAACGAAAGGACGAAAATTCTTGAAATTTCTTCTTAGTACTGAAATTGTTTAATTTTTTCTTAGTACTGAAATTGTTTGCTTTTATAGCCTTTCGTAAGAAATGTAATAGACTTTAAAAGTTTTAAATAAATATAACAAATCAGTTTGAGTAAAGGAAATACCGTATAACGGAATAATGATTCACAGAAAAAGTTGGATTCCGTCTTGATACCGAGAATATGACTAAGTTATTCTTCAACTACTGTTTTTACAATTTTTGTGTATTATTCCAATAAAAGCAGCCATATTTCTAAAGTTAAATTCATTGAGATATTTGAATATTGGTTGAAAATACCGTAGACTGTGACATCATCAATTTTGGTTAAGACTATGAACATCAAAGATTTAAAGTACACGATTTTCCAATAAACGCTTTAGTCTTCAGATGAGTTACTATTAAAATGGTCTTTACACTACACCTCTACAAATCATACAGATTTTCGACTAAATCCTTTCGATTCTATGAGAATCGAAGAGGTTGCATATAAAATTAGTCATAAAAATTCATTCGTAGCTTAATAAACTTGGAAAATTGCAGAGAAGACAAGTTGCAAACCATTATTTATTTACACTTAATCTTTGAAGTACTTTCTGCAAGTTAAAGTCAAACGAAAACATTTTAAATGTATTATGCAAATACCAAAAATATTAGGTATGATATTTAAGCAATATCGCACTCTTCTATCCAATTGAATAGCCTAGGGCCAAATAATGGCTGCAGATAAAATCACCCTATTTATCTTCAAGTTTTTCATGCCCAATATACAAAAATTTATAAATTTTCATCGTTTTTCTGAATAACACCTAAGGTGCATACATCAATTAATAGAAGTAAATGGAGCCTTGGTCGTACCACTGCACCATGTGGCCTTTGTCTTTAGTTCCAATACATTAAAATAAACTTAGACTATATAGAGAGATTGATTTTCGAGCTGCTCAGCACTTTTACTGGTATAAACTAATTTTTAGAAAAGCCTAGGTATTTCTCTAATGTTTGTTTGATTGACTGATTGAATTTTTATTCACAAAGGATCTCTAGTTACAATTCAATAGAAAAAAAGAAAAACATTTATAAAATAATAGAGACATCCAAGTGAATGCCCATAAGCAGATAAGCCTCGCAGGCAACAGAGGTGATTTAAAACTCTATTCCAATGATAAGGCAAAGAAGTTAAGACCAACAGAAAGTTTCTAAATTAAACACATAAAGAAGCCTCAAGAAAACTGATAACGGGATGTCACTAAAACTAAGCGTAACAAAGCAATATCAATATAACAGTGATTAAAGGGACCGCCCTAGCATACGAAAACTTCAACAGTTATTATCCGATTGTCATGAAACTTCACATACATACGTAAAATGTAAAAAAAACATTTTGCTCTTATGAATTTTTCGAAAAAATTGATAGAAAACGTGAAATTCATAGAAAACGGCTAAAAAGGGGTACTTTAGAAAATCTATCTCCTCCCACAAATATCATCCTACAACATCGAGACACGTATCAATCGATTCGTAAAGACCATATCTATTGACACCATGATTGGCTGCTTAATGCCAGGCCTTCCTTTGTGGAGTGACCAGCGCGTCATTTATCCTCGTATAGTTTTGTTAAGGGACCTAAAACCCGCCTCCCTTTGAGGAGCTGTCACAAAGTCATTTTTCGACGTACAGGGACGATACTTATACGGTTCGATGCGCAAGAAAACAGCCTTTAAGATGAGATAAGAAACAGAAAAACTCAAAATTTTCAAATTTTAGCTAGGCGGTCCCCTTAAAGACGGGTAAAAACTTGAAATATAGAGTCAAAAAGATTCAGAACCTGCATGACAAACGAAGTCAAATTAATACTGGCTAAGAATAAATTTACGGAATTTCATTTTTAAAAGTAATTTGGAACAATCTTTTTTAAAATCTTCATGCGATTCATTAAAATATTTGACGCAGTTAAAAACAGTACCGCTTTTTCTACTTCCAGACGAAACGCTGGCAAGTTAAATCCTACTCCCCTGGTATTATGGGAATGTTGAGGGACGAGAGAGGCGAAGGCAGACTAAAAAAGACGATCATCATGGTAAAGTGCCCTACGCATGAATTTTAAAAGCTCAAATTTATACATATCGTCAAGTTTCACGATTTTTGACTGCTTATATAATTCGCTAGTGCGAGTCAAAGGGATACTATTGGATTAATTAAATGCTATTAGAACTAATCTGCTTAATTAAAATAAAATTAATTAGAACTAATTAAATGTTTAGAACTAATCGGCTATTAAATTTTGCCCAGCTATTCATGAAACTTTGAATTTATAGTCTCAGTGAAAGAAAAAGCACGCAAAAGTTTTTAGCGAATGATTTTTTCCTCCTTTTTCGACTATGAATTGTGTTAGCTTAAAATATATTGCAGGTAATTTATTATTAATTAAATGACACCCTAATCTAGCGGTATCGTCACATTTTGGACAAAAATATTTCATGGAGCTACACAAATTTTGAATTTATTTTATATTTCTTCTTCTTTTGAGTATGAATCAATAAAATAAAAAAAAAAATTACGTCGGAAGCATTTTTAAAATGAAGCTTCACAGGAAAACTTTATGAAATTCAGCCATTATTTGTTGTTGAACTTTAAGAATTTTGTACTTCGGCAGCTAAATAACTGCGCATGCTAAGCTTCACGCCATGCCTGACATGATAATACTTAGAATAAGTTAGGAAACCATCTAAAACAACTGCATCGGAGACCTGCCGGATGTCATTAGATGAAATTAGGCACCAAATTTTAACACTTTTATTAAATTCTGTTTGAAATTGTTTTCGTGACTGACGTACAGACCTAATCCTCATTAAAATGTAGACAAATTATGGCATATTTTACAACTTTGCTGGATAATAGGTACATATAAAATCTCTGAATATATTTGTTCGAATGCGTCACTTTTTTGGGTTAATTAAATTTGTACGCAATTTTATGGAAATCTTTACCGAATGATGATGGGATTTTATTTGTGTTGAATATTGTCTAGGAAAGAACACTTTTATGTGTTTTATACATGAAACCTTCAAAGGTTATGAGTTCATGTCTAAAATACCGATAGTTTGTGTGTTTGCCTTCCATATATTAACAATTTCTGACGATAAATTACTACTTCATTCGTTAAATATCAAGGAACATTATTTTTCTGAGAAGACCAATACCATACATCTGAACAGAACGGACTGGTAATAAATATATCTCAAAGTCATTTTTGAGATACTTTTTAGCGCATTTCCTCATTTATGGGAAAAAGGCACTATTGTGCTCATCATGTCCGTCCGTCCGTCTGTCCGTCCGTCCGTCTGTCTGTCTGTCTGTCTGTCTGTCTGTCTGTCTGTCTGTCCGTCCGTGACTTCACGTTTTCGTCGACGAGAAAATGCGCTCTCTGTCACTCACTGCAGTGAGTACTGAGTTATATTTTTAAGGTTATGACATCGTTATAATCAAACCAGTTGCTGATTTAGCTACTATTCGAAGAACATATTACAAGCTAAATCCCGCGCAATAACTCACTGTACCCATTCGTCCACAAAGCTGTAAAGTCGACGTCTCTCGATTAAAGCACGCATCGCTTTTCTGGACGTCAGATCAACGTCTAGACAAACTTTTGCACACGGTGAACGTCAAAACCGTCACGTACTCTGACTACGACGTTCCTGCTCTGACTTCATTGTCACTCCGACGATCAAAGTGTAAGGAGACCCTGCATTTCAGCATACGCCACGTTTGAAATATTTCCATAATTTCGTTCGTTTTCATTTGAGTCTTGATTGTCATAAAAAAATCGTTCCTCGTTACATTAAATCAATAAATATGGTAACGACGACATTTGTTTAGAAGCTCGACAAAACCCGATGAACATTTTCAAAACCCGATGAACATTTTCCAGCTAGGTATTTTGATTGAAAAAATTAGAGGTGAGCCCGATTACAGGATTAGAGAGCTATAGTATAAAGGAATTTTTATTAAATTGCTGATACAAAATCTATTTTTTCTAACGATTTTACATTTCAAGTTGGTTACAGTTTGTAATTTGATTGCTCTCCGCTTGTCTGCTTTGAAATGCTATCACAATAACTATACTTCCAGAAAAAATTAAAATTATCTCTTAAAAAGCCTCAACACCATTGCCTGTTTTTCCAGGTGTTTGTTCTCAACTGATCAATTTATGGGAAATTTATGGATTATTATCAAGAATTTCCCCGTTGAATTTGACGCGCTCCTTCGATAAAAATTATATTTTAAAGATCATTCATGTAATATTTAATAATTAATTTTTGCAAGATTATGTCATTCAGTCGTAAAATTGAAGAAAATACAATAGTCTTCACCAATAAAGCTATAACTGAGTGCCCTCAAACCTCTGCCCTGCTGTTACTCCGTTATCGCCATCTTCGAGAAAATAACCGAACTTTTTACTATTCTCATTCAGATTTTTTTCGGCAGGTAAGCCCGAAATGCTGCTCGTGTGGCGGGTAGCCTGCGTGGCTCTGGGGGTGGTCATTGGCTATCACATCTCTGCTTGCAGCGGCCAGAGCGTCTCTGCGGCGCAAGTTCCAGCCACAACCAGTGTGAAAGGTGACGTAATAGTAACCTTATACAGTTTTGATTAACGTTAATTGTCGCAAGAGCTCGTTTAAATTCAAGATATTTCTTTATAGCGCATTTTCACAATTATGAAAAAAGGCGCTACTGTGCTCGTTATGTCCGTCTGTCCGTCGATCTGTCCGTGACTTCACATTTTCGTCGACGAGAAAATACGCTCTCTGTCACTCACTGCAGTGAGTACTGAGTTATATTTTTGAAATATTAATATATCGGAAAATTATTCAATATAATGAAGCCCAATCGCGATATAAGGTTAACTCATGTTTACATCGTTTGATTGGATACAATTTTTTTGCAGTTTTCAAGTTAGAAGAAATTCGTGCTATTACGTCTGCATTTACATTAGTTTTTATTTACAAATTAAAACATTCTTCTGATTGACGGCCTCGTCAGTGAGCTCTGACGTTACAATTCATTCATTGGATTTTCATTCAATAAATGTCCAATCGCACTTGAGAATTTTAAATCCTTTTTTTGTGTAAGTGAGTAACTTATGTATGAAGAGACAAGATTGCATGAACAATTCTATAAATGTGTATCCAAAAATTATCCCCCATTTGACAAGATAAAATTTTCATCCGGACATAATTCATCAAATCATCGGCTTCTAATATTCAGAAATATTTTTCTATGCAACCATCAAAGTGAACTTTGCCATCTTTGAAAGTCAATTCATGATCTTGTGCAAGAGCCTGCACCATCGCCTTTAATATCCAATAGAAATAAATAACTGCACTAAATAAACAACCCAGTAATCATCGGCGGACTCTTGCACCACCGATTATGAATTTCATGATCCCTTCCATCCTGACGCAGGCACGGCCGAGTGCGCCGATGTACCGGCGCAGGAGTGCGGAGTTCGGCGATCCAAGTGTCTGCCGGTAGCTACGTTGATGCAGGCTGCTGGAGGCCCCGTGGGCGGAGTGTTCACCTGTGCCACGCAGCTCGCCATCCCCAAGACCCAGATCATCCCAGCTATAGGTGATATATATTCCTGCTCTATATGTCTACGTCTGAAGATAAACCTGTACACTAAACTTAATATTTGGCAGTTCATTAATTGGGTACCGTGCTACAAAGTAGTTAGCTCCAATCATTGTAGTATTAACATTGTGGTAATATATTATAAACATATTTAGGTACCGTGCTATAAAGTAGTCAACTCCAATCATTGTAACAATAACATTGTGGTCATAATATTATTAATATATTTGGGTACCGTGCTACAAATTACAGTCATCTCCAATAATTGTAGTATTAACATTGTTGGAATAATATTTTTTCTGTGCCTCAGGGCCAGCGTTCAGTTCGGGTCACCCAGAGAGCATCGTAGAGCGCGTGAGCAACGACTCGGCTGTTGTAATGCGCATGCGCCGGTGTCTGCTCACAAATGCAGGGCTGGTGCGTAATGTTACAACCTTGATATTATTGCTTATCAGTCACCAACGCGGGGCTGGTGCGTAATATTATAGCCTTGATATTATTGCTTATCAGTCACCAACGCAGGGCTTGTGCGTAATATTATAGCCTTGATATTATTGCTTATCAGACGTATTATTGCTTATTGCTTATCAGTCTGATGGTGCGTAATATTACAACCTTGTTATTATTGCTTATCAGTCGCTAACGTGGGGCTTGTGCGTAATATTATAAGACTTGATATTATTATTATTGCTTATGAGTCACCATTGCTGATGCGCAATATTATAGTATTGATATTATCGATAACTATAAGATATCCGGTTTCGAGTGATGCTTGAAGAGACCTAATTATTTGAAGATAAGGAAAAATCCGAATAAACAATGCTACTCCAGTTTGGCCTAATTAGAAAAGATTCCGATTTTTTTACTTCTGCTGTGCCTAGAAAATCTACACCAGAACGATCGATGCCATCCATCCTAATGTCACTCACACATATTCATCAAGAATCACTCGAAATTAAGCATTTAAATTCCAATGTGAATTATTCGTAGTTGGGTCTCAACGACACAATCAACCGCGAGGCGCTGGCCGGCAAGGCACAAGCGAAGCTCAGCTACAACCCTCCCCTCGCTGCCACCGTCGCCGCCGCCGTCAGGAGCTGCCCTGAGCCCCCTGAACTGAAGGTGCGTAGCGTCCAGCAGAGCCTATACTTTCAGTTAAAGTTAAGAGATCGTAAGTTCATCAGCCAATCATTGACGGCCTTTCAAGTAAAATCCACCAATCATAGACAAGAAAATAGAGCGTAAGTGCTTACGTTCACTTAGCGAGCTTTGAAAGTATGGCCCCAGCAGAGCCTATACAATATTTTCAGAAAAAGTTAAGAGATCGTAAGTTCATAAGCCAATCATTGACGGCCTTTCAAGTAAAATCCACCAATCATAGACAAGAAAATAGAGCGTAAGTACTTACGTTCACTTAGCGAGCTTTGAAAGTATGGCCCCAGATTGGCTTTGGATTTGCAGTTATAGTTTATAACACTTTGTAAGTGAACCTAAAAATGTATATTACCAGGTTTGGACAAGTGGAAATCATGCTGAAAAGTCGTTGACAGATTTTTATAATGTACACTATATATATCCTTAGAAAATTTTAGAAACTAGTTATCACTCCTGCGAATTGATAGGACTTCCAGATTTACATTCAGTAAGGCCTGATGGCGTGTTAAGAATTACTTTTCATTTAAGGATCATTAAGTCAATCTCATACCTTACAGCTAATACTGAAAATATTATGGATGAAAACGCAGACAAAAGCTTTCAATAGAGAGTATTAAATACATAAAAATAGAGGTTGACTATTAGGATGAAACAGAAATCATATTATAATGATCTGTGTTCCAGTACAACGAGTTACTGACGTGCGCCATGCAGAGGTGCATCAATTCTGTATCGGTGGCCGCCTTCGCTTTCCCGCCACCTGGTCAGAAGGAATCTGCCAAGAAATGCTCCAAGAAGAAGGGTTGCAAAAAACACTAGCTCATTTTAGACAAGATCTAATTTTTTCAAATTTCGCTTTTTCAATAATTTCAAGCCTTCCAAGTAATTTTTTCTTCAGACTTATCATTGCAACGTTTGTAGTTATTGACACGTTGCAATATTAATTATTCTAAATATTGCTTACGAAAGTCTTTTACGTCTAAGTTGCATATGCATTACATTGTTTGATAAAATCTATAGAAGGAAGTGGAGCCACGAATCAATTAGATTAATGTGTATAACTAGGGATAAAATTTCACAAGAGTGTGGTAATAGGCAACTCACCTTCTGCTTTCAAAACCGCCTAACAGAAACGGTGGAGCTCGTGTGGCAGAATTCGGTTCGACAACCTTATTTGTCAAAGGCCATATCATCACTGATCGGCGAGATCACTCTCGAGCACTTACTGCCCTAAGCACTTCTGTTAATTGTTAACAATTAGATTAAAGTTATTTCATCAAGCGGTTATCTCGCGGTTGAAAAAATCTAGTCGCGTCATTCGAAAAGTATTATATAATATAATCCACGCCCACGCTGGAGGAAGTTCAATGTCAAAGGCGGAACTTAATGCAGTTAATTTGCAATAAGTCAGAAAATATCATAAATATTCCAGATTCAGGTAATAATACCAGATAAAATATACCAATACCAGACATCGTCTCAAAATACCAGATTTGTGAAATCTTGTATGAAAAAATAGCAGTTGGCAACGCTGTCGTGCAGTGCGGTGGGCATCGCAATTTACTGTGAGGGCATAACATTGGTACTCGCTCTATTGACATTTTCTCCCCTTTTTGTTCTTGATTTTATGTGGTGGAAACGACAGTTTTCTTTGGTGCAATTCTCTCTATTCATGATACTCCAGCACAGCGTAGGATGATAAGAGGCAATCGCTACCTCTTTTGCACCCTCTGGGATGACCGCTTCCATAGTCAAAGAATTTATAGCACATTCTAGGGTATGAGAATGTGCATCCTTCACCATTCTTCCCGTATTCACATTTCTTTTGAAGGCATTTCCAGCCAATTCCTTTCTCAAAGCGCGGCCTACCTGAGTGTACATTAACTTCTTGGGAGGAGGGTAAGGTTGTAAAGGAGGATGGCAAACCGATGTCCAAATCCAGACTTTTGAAGGCAGTGGTATAGGTGGTAGGGTTGGGAGAAACGTCGCACTGCAGAGGAGGGAAATGAACCTTTTATAGATGTTCTTATATTGACCACTTTTTTAGTCATATGGCTTCGGATGTCCATGCGATATTGCCGGATCCACTCTGTATTGCGGAATAGTAGCTCGATAGGATCACTCGACCTGCGCCACCATACGGGACTGTGTACTATGCACGGAATGTGTACTGTTCACGGAATACTTGAATATTTTTAGATAGGTTCAATATCGTTGCGTTTTATTGTGACCTGTAATATATTAGTGTGATGTCAACATGTATAGCTATAAATGTAAAGAGGTCTTTCTAGTTTTTATGATACAGTTTTAGGCATGACCCATTGTGTACGTTTAGTGTCTGTAAAAGTTTTATCTCATACAGAGAGACCTCCGAAGTCTTGACCCAACTTCAACTCACAAACACTCTGTTTATCTTATCGTCGTAGGATGAATGAAAGTTTTGTGTTAAATCGTCCTTATTCCCTTGTATTCTGCAAGAAATGTAACGATCCATGGCTGGATTATTAGTGATAGTATATAGGCTCACGTTACGCTCAGTGGGAGTGGCTCCGTGACAAAACTACACTGTCATAGAGCAATGTCACACTGCACTGTCACAATACAATGTCACACTACTATGTCACACTACTCTGTCGCACTACTCTGTCACACTACACTGTCACACTGCACTGCAATCCTGCATTGCGATACTGCACTGTAACAACACAGCCTAACTGCGCTGCCTCATGATGACCCTGAAGGGCTTGGGGATGATAATCATGCGCTCGGCAGGGTCGCGTTGAGTGCTCAGTACCTCGCCCTCGGGGGCCTCGAACATGAAGGTTTGCAGCAGCGCGCTGCCGAACAGGAACATCGTCTGCCGGGCCAAGTTCTCTCCGGGGCACACGCGCCGACCTGTGCAGATGTGACATTATATTACGGGGATACTAACATATAATAAAATGCGAGACGATTTTACGGGGATACTAATATATGAATGTGACATTATTTTACGGGCACTCTAACTTATACATACAAATATGATATTATTTCGCGGGGATAGTAATATATAAATACAAAAGCGACACTATTTTACGAGGATACTAACTTATACATACATATATGACATTATTGCACGGGGATACTAAGATATGCGATGCCATTTTTCGGGAGACTAATAGATACATTCATTATTTTGCGGGGACACTATTATATACATATATGTGCGACATTATTTTAAGGGGAGACTAACTTATACATGCATATGCGACCCTATTTTACGGGGATACTAACATATATAGAAACAAATGCAACAGTATATAACGGGGATACTAACATATTCATACAAATGTGACTCTATTTTACGGGTATTCTAACTTATACATTCATATATGACATTATTTTGCGGATATACTTATATATAAATAAAATTTTGACACTATTTTACGGGGATACTAACTTATACATACAAACGTGACATTATTTTGCGGGGATACTAATATATAAATACAAATGACACTATTTTACGGGGATACTAACTTATATATACAAATACGTCATTATTTTGAGGGGATACTAATAAATAAATACAAATGCGAAACTATTTTACGGGGACACTTCATATAACATTTCGTTGCTGTTATACGAGAGTTGTACCTAAATAAGTAAGGTCTTTCGATAACGCATTATTTTCCTAGATAAGGTATCATGAGTGAAATGATACCGTACGGTATCAGTACGGTGCGAAAATTTCGATCCTACTTGATGATGCGGAGCATAAATATTTCTTTTACGTTACATATACATTGCATGAAAATTCATGATATCGACAGAGTAGTCAGCTAAAATTAACTCGGAAGTAATTTAACTGATGACTTACAGGGAGATATAGATTCAGCAATACGAATAAATATTTTTAGACTGTACATCGAAATCAAGAGATTTTGAATGGGCCTGAAAATATAGAATAAGAATAAATTAGGGTTTCATGATGTGACAGCACACGCATTTTTCATCACAGCCTTAAAACAAAAATGATAAAATCTAAATAAAAAAAAAATAAAAAATGATAATTAATAACTAAGACATTAAAGCTAGTTCAATAATCTTGCATCAAGAAGTACTGATTATTAATGATGCTTGATAGGTACATCAAAAAGCCAATTGAAATTGGCTCTAGCAAGTTATTAAAATCTGTTGTTGAGACTGCACTTCACGTAAGATGTTGCGAGGGCAGAAGCTTGCTTTGGCTGCAGCAAGTCGCACGACGTTAGTTGAGCTCAAATTTGAACACTTACCTTTACTAAACTTAGTATTGATTTCTGGTTCAAAGTTAATATGCTAGTACTGAAAATAGGGAACTTTCATTATAAATGTATACTCAGAAAACGTCAGCTGATGACATTGGAGCAGCAAACAACAACTTCATCAGAACGTTATCTTCACAGCAGACTCACTTATTAGATATGAATGAGGTTAGAATACCAGAAATGACAGAAATTAAATTACACTACAAAAATTACGAGTATAATAAGATTCACACCAGCACTAAAATTTGAATTCTTTTACACCAAAACCCCAAGCATAAGCCTTCTCACCAATCGAGAAAGGGATGAAGCCGTTTTTCTTGGGACAGAATTTGCCGTTTTCGTCCAAGAAGTGCGGAGGATAGAACTCGTCGGGACGCTGCCAGACCTGCGGGTCCCCGTGACAGCTGCCCGCGTGTCCCATTAGCACCGTGCCCTATGTGGTGGGGTCTTTTGTTTACATCGGGGCTCAAACTATTATGATTCTTACTAGAGGGTAAGAAATCTTAATTTTTTTCTTAGTTTACCATGAGTACGACCACTCATTGTATGACATTTTTTTTTTGTTCCTAAGACGAAGGATTTCATTTTCCATTCTGAATAAAGCCCATCAATTGAATGCAGGAAAAATTGATTCTGTATGATCACTAAGTTTCAGATTCGCCAATTTAAAAAGTTTCTGTACTAATTCATTCAAAATCCATAAAAAGACTTGAATTTCTCGACGTGATTCGATAATTTATCGAACATTAAATTAACTTAGAACAGTCATTGAAGACACACTAAACCTGTTAAAATAAAGCTAAATTTCTGTCAAATAAAGCTCCAGACTGTCATAAAATTTTAAGACAGAATATTAAAGACAAAGTATCAAAGAGAAAATAACGAAGACAGAATATCAGAGACATAATATAAATTACGTAATATCAAAGACAGATTACCTTGGGTACATGGAAGCCGTTCACTTCGATGTCTTGGGTAGCGCAGTGCGGGACCAGCAGCGGCACAACGGAGACGAGTCGCTCCACCTCGTACAGCGTAGCCTCCAAATAGCTCAGGCTGAAATGCAAAGAACAGTTCTGAACGTTGCTAATTGTAAATGGTGATAAAGATGAAAAGTTTTAGTGATGTTTTGTAACGGAAATTTAATGTGTTCTTGATGAATACAGGAAATAATGTTCCTCTGTTAAAAATAATGGTGGAAATGTTTACTAAAACCTCGCCACGAGAGCAATGTTCTTATTACTTACAAGTATGTAAATGGAACGCTTTGTAGCGGCTATGTAGATACGTTTCCTCAAGTTACCCCCACGACTCATTTTTTAAGATTGTTTCTAGCTTATTTTAATTTAGCGGAGTTACCCATCAACTCTAACTCAATATTATTATTTATGTTATTGCCTTAAGCATCACTATTGATTATCAACTGCAATTGGAATACTGTTAAATATGGATTCGCTATATGTTTATAATATTAGCACCGACCTAGGGTATTGCAACATAAGTAACTCCAGTAGTCATAATTATTTGCACATCTGTAATACATTGCGTAACCTGTGCTACAGACCTAGTTCCAGTTAATTAGGAGAACTGCTATTGTCTTTCATTCCCCCTATGTGCTATGTGTAGTATTGTGTACTATTGTGTTTCATTCCCACATAGTACCGTGTGTTAAACAACTTGTCTCTGTATTATCACCCCGTTTACAAAATACGTTATCTGGGCAGCTGCGTGTTACTTATCCCTCACCACCTTAGTCATGTAAACCGGTCCGACACTTCAGCGAATTCGCCTGCGAGCTCGAATGGAAAACCTAACTTAATTTTCAACTCTGGCACGCATAACTCCGTCAATAATGGACGGATTTTCTTCAAATTTGAAATATAAGTAGATAATATCAGTACGCTGCGGAGGGTATTTTTTTCAAATTTTTTCATCAATAATTTTTTTTAATACGGAAAATCTAACTTAATTTTCAACTCTGGCACGCATAACTCCGTCAATAATGGACGGATTTTTTTCAAATTTGAAATATAAGTAGATAATATCAGTACGCTGCGGAGGGTATTTTTTCAGATTTTTACGTCAATTACTTTTTGTTAATGCCACAAAATACTGAAACTTGACCTGACTAGGACCTAACCTGCGAGGTGAACATGAAATTAGGTTTTCGGTGATAATAAAAAAGTAATGAATGTAAAAATTTGAAAAAAATACCCTCCGCAGCGTAAAAAAAATTATCGATGAAAAAATTTGAAAAAAATACCCTCCGCAGCGTACTGATATTATCTACTTATATTTCAAATTTGAATAAAATCCGTTCATAATTGAAGGAGTTATGCGTGCCAGAGTTGAAAATTAAGTTAGGTTTTCCGTATTAAAAAAAATTATCGATGAAAAAATTTGAAAAAAATACTCTCCGCAGCGTACTGATATTATCTAATTATATTTCAAATTTGAATAAAATCCGTTCATAATTGAAGGAGTTATGCGTGCCAGAGTTGAAAATTAAGTTAGGTTTTCCGTATTAAAAAAATTATCGATGAAAAAATTTGAAAAAAATACTCTCCGCAGCGTACTGATATTATCTACTTATATTTCAAATTTGAATAAAATCCGTTCATAATTGAAGGAGTTATGAGTGCCAGAGTTGAAAATGAAGTTCGAGCTCGCAGGCGAGTTCGCACGCGAGTTCGCTGAAGTGTCGAATCGGTGTCATGTAACCCGATCCTCAGGGGGAGAGCTTAATATATGAGCTCTGACAAGATATTAAAGTATTGTAAACAAACATAGATTCCTGCAAAAATTAAATCGTACCTAGGCCTGTCGTCGAGACCGGGGAGCCTGTCTCGTGGCACGACGCTGTCGATCTCGGCCTGGATTTTCCTCTGAATTTCTGGATGCTTGATCATGTAGAGGATGAGCCAGCGCAGTGTAATGGACGTGATCTCGGATGCGGCCGTGAAAATGTCACCCAAGCTTACCATCAGATTCTCCTCTAAACGAAATAAGTAAAAATTTTGCATAATTTAGAATTATAAAAAATTGTAAATTCTGAATATATTATAAAAAATAATTCTAAATTTTCACTATAGGACTACAAATATTGTGAATATATCAGGAGAACTTCATTCCTCAAATCGTCGAGAGATGAACAGTTGTGTTCGCGCAAGATGAACAGTTGTGTGTGAACAGTTGTGTTCGCGCAATCAAGCTGGTAGAAAGATGCATCGCAAGAATGACTGCAGCCAAATTGACGTAAAATCTAAGTGAATGTGAACGTCTTCCTTCGCTCCATCGGGCGAGTTCTGTAACATGGCATTTATCTTCTACCATAAAAAACTCTGTTAACATGTCGTCCTTTTTTATGCTGTGAAACATCAATTATCTGCTATCCCACAAAACTCGACCCACATGTTTTGTTGCTATACATTTTAAAATATTCCTAATCCATTCTTATCTTTGAATGAAGAAACAATTACTTACCGGTGAATATAGCGCTGCCGGCATTCTTTTCCAGCTGCATTTCGATGAGGAACGCGTCGATGTAATCGCGAGGATTGTTGACATCGAGGCTCTCCTTGTGCTCCTTTATGCATTTCTAAAAACATATGCGTGTTAAAAATGAAACAAATAACAATTTTAAAATTTACAAACAGATCGAAGGATTGATGCCCTCAATTGACAATCAGTTTCCTGGCCGATGGAGCTCCATGCCGATGGATCTCCTTATTGTTATAGGGGTCGGGGCTTTCAAAAAGCTTCGTAAAGATTTTTACATTGATATGAACCTTTTTACAGATATGAACCTTTTCGAAAATTCATGGGTAAACATTCAAACAGAGGGTAAACACAAGTCGGACAACTTCTACAAAGGACTTACAGGACTTGATTTTGCATGAATATAACTCTATTGATATACCCATCATTCAGAATTTGATTTGTAGCATGCCTAGGAGAATGGAAGAAGTTCTTCGTAGTAGGAGCCTGCACTGCATATTGATACCTTGGGAAAATTTGCCATACTTCACATTTTTTCTGCGGGATTGCGTTCTTGTTGACGTTTTCTTTAGTTTTCAAGTTAAAAAATACAAATTTGACGTTTCCTGATTTTATTTTAGACCTCATAATTGAACAATTAAAAAATATCACGTGCGACTAAAGTTTTGGCCACGACCGTAAATACGCCAACCAAAAAGTGAGTAATGGTTGAGTAGTGTCAACTGAACAAAATGTATGATACACTCAATCCACTCATATATGAATAATGCATAATCCCACCTTCATGTGGCTCATAAGAATATCGCAGTCCTCCATATATTTTGTTACGCCGAGCTTCTCCATGACGAAACGCGGTGTTATGGGAAGCAGGAATGGGAATGTGTCGAAAATGACAACGTTGCCCTGGAAATCGTGGAAAATGTCGACCACCACTTGCTGGAACTCCAAAGCCTTCTCATCGTCCAAGTCGTGTCGCTTTCCTGCAATATAATGAGTTAGTTTTAATTTAAAATGTCATTATTACGGTCGAATTTTCCTAAAAATTGATTACACGTTTCTTCCTCCAAATTTTACAGGCATTAAATTGTATATGACTAGTCATGTTCTTCCATTCATCGTAGTTAGTAAGTTGCACACATCTGACAACACTCAACAAAATAGCCTAATAAGCTTCTTCGAAGAATCTTTGCACGAGGTAATCTTCAGCATGAATCGTAATTATCTTTTCAGGAAATGGATACCTGCGCAGAGTTCCCAGATGATGTTGAGTATAGCGATGGATAAAGACCTCGGTACTTCGGTCGCAACGTCGGTTACTTTTTTGAAGTTTTCGACAAGATTGTGCGCTTCCAAAGCGATGCGCGACTCCAGAGATGACCTGCCCATGCCCATGTCGCGCAGATGGCGGATTGTGAAGCGGCGACCGCCGTGCCAGATCTCCCCGACCGAGTTTGCTAGACCTTAATGGGTAAACTCAATGAAATATTTTTTTGCTCGCACACCTTTTACCTATTTCGCTTAATTATTGGTGATAAATACAGGAAAAAATTATGTATCTTAACAGGTAAACTCAATGAAATACATATTTTTTTGCTCGCACACCTTCTACCTTTTTCGCTTAATTATTGGTGATAAATACAGGAAAAATTATGTATCTTAACAGGTAAACTCAATGAAATACATATTTTTTGCTCGCACACCTTTTATCTTTTTCACCTAAGTATTGGTGATAAATACAGGAAAAATTATGTATCCGACTTAGAAGGATTCGATCAAAATATTTTTCATCCTTTTCATGATATTTCATCAAATGATTATTTTATTTATAACATAGCTCGGACAATAACTAAACTTGTTCGGGAGAATAAAAGCGATAGTTCATTTGCTAAACATAAAGAAATGACATAAGGGACCTATATGATATCGGCGGAAAATATAATTGTTAATAAACCAGTTAATTTGCGCATTATGAGTTTTTATCTTAGAAACAATTATTCCATTTGATTGCATCAGACACAAAAAGGGAGTGGCTTTGCGATTAAATTTCTTAAAGCCATTAATGTATTTACAACATCCTCTACTCTTCTCACTCTCAGGGTTCAAGTGAGACTATCAACGTTCCACTCATATGCTATGTGCACCACCTTGTAGACCCATCACTCACACATGGCTCACTAATCGGAAGTTAAAATATCATACTACATATACAGGAAAAGAGTGTAACTTTAGATATTTTTACGCCCCTTTTCTAGAATATAAAACCTTATTTGGGCAAAACAAATCAGCTTAAATTTAATCTTGGAAGTGGAATTCAACGCTGTTGATCGGTATACATGTTGACAAAAATTGGCAACGTTCGTTTGCTGCGATGTTTCTGACGTTTCCTTGAATAATAATATAATAATAATAATATATAATAGCGGTTTCAGCGTTTATTAGGCCGTAGGCCTGTCGCCGATTCTTAACATCGCAGAACATTCACAGCATTTTGCGGTCTCGAACTCGCAACGCACTGCTACAATTCTGCTGTGCTTAACCGCCCGGCCTCCTCGCCGATTCTGACCAGAAACTGGCGCACAGAGCTGGGATTGAACCTGCGCCTCTCTGCGCCAATCTTTGTACTCTGAACTTTAACCACTGGGCCACCCTGCTGTGATGTAAAATAAATTTTCTCTCGCATGAAGGGCCTTTTGCCAAATGAAGAGTAATTTTAATTGTTCATTTTGAAATTTCCACCATTATTCAGCTCCTCGCTACGTTTCGAGCTAAAATTTTCAAATGTCAATGCCTAACTTCAAGTTTTCATTCACTTACCTAAATTCTTGTAGCAGGAGAAAATAAGTAAGCTGTAGAAGCTTGGCCGTCCCTGAGCATCGGGATGGTTGTAGACTTTTTTGATGGTATCAAAGTCGCACAAGACCACGAATGTTGCTGTGCCAATCTTCCATCTGAACAAAATTTCATGAGGAATGATTTAGTGCGGTGTATCACCTTCTATCCAGAAAATGAATATGTTTTGTTGTGAATATAATGACGCACCTTTTAAACCATAGCTATTTGGACATGGCGACTTTCATTTCTCTGAGTTATACATTGATCTAGGTAACAGTTTTACTCGATCCGATATTTGTAAATATTATTCATCACGCGAATATTTTAGTAATAACAAGAACTGGAAGGAAGTACATTAAAATAGCATTGGTTAGTAGGGAATGCGGAACAGAGAGAATAGAATATAATTTTTTTGAGGCCCCAAACTTTGAAACACACACGAGCGGTAGGCCGCTTGCACGGTATTCGTATCCACGATTGAACTAAAATTAGTTCAAACACGGTCGTATCAGCCGCTGATCAGGAGCTCTTAATAGGAATATAGGAACGATTTCTTAGCCCCACCACCGTGACTCTCAGGCAGACGCACTCAAAGAATTAAGTGAGACATTTTCTAATTAGAGATGAACTTTTTGACCTTGTTCGAGTCCTGACCTAGCTTGGTCCGGTAGAATGGCGTATTAGCGTTACGTGTTGAAAGTGTGTCACTATTTGGACAATACGAACCATTAATTTCTTAGAGTGTACACAAAGTTTTGTGGCTGGTGGGTGGTTGCTCACGAATAATACTCTTCTGATTGCTATTTGACTGGCCACTTAACCACGCACGTATTTGCACACTCAGCCGCTAACGGCTCCATTACACGGATTACAGTTACAACTGTTGAGACTTATGATAGTGTTTGGGATAATAGTCATAATAAATGTGTTATCCTATCATAAAACACGATATTTTTCGAAGGAATTTGTATTGTTGTTATTATTTTAAGAAGAGAATAAAAGAATTTTATCTACTCACGTGAATACATCGCCATGTTTCTTGCGTAGTTTTTTTATTGTCTCGTCCATAGGCTCATCGCTGGGGGGTAAATGGCCTAAGATTGGCCACCCCCACTCTCCTGAAATGCGTAAAAATGCTAATTGCATTTATTATCAAACTTTCCTACTTTTTCCTGACCTCGTGAAGATAATTTTTAAACATCCACGTGCACATCAGACGAATTTCACAGTTTCCTAGGAGTAGATACAGTGGGAAATATGGATGGGTCTGGGTGACCCACTTAGATGAGTAAACCGCGTCAAAATAGCGATGCACTTTTTTTACTCACTTGCCCCATTTGTTAATTGCCCCATTTTATTATTGGCCGTTAAATTTTCTGGTATGACTCACTTGTGGCGTTGCCCAGATGCTCCCTACGTATCCGTGCTACGGGAGGAGTCAGAAGCGAATTAACGCTACAATATACGTAAGTTACCCAGAAATTTAAAGGGCCAATAATAGGTCCGTATGAACCACAAATGGGGCAAGTGAGTCAAAAAAAAGTGCGTGGCTGTTTGAACGCGGTTAATTGACTCATCTAAGTGCGTCATCTAGACCCACCAATTGTGCTCAGTGTAAATTAACAGGAGTATGCTTGATTAGTGCTAATATAGAGCATATGAAAGGCATAAGAGCGTGGATTAAAATGGTGAAAAACAATCGGTATTTTGGCACTCAAATACCTAATGAACATACGTAATTAATTAATGCAGTCCTATCATATTTTTTTCGTATTTTTCTAGCAAAGGAATTGCTTTACATACTTCACAGCAATTACACTGTAAGTCATACAAGGACTGCACACTTCTAACAATGTTCATGCCTAATACCTAATATGCTGGTAGTTTTAGTAATGAAAGTCCTTGAAATACTACACCATGATAATATTTAAACTATAACATTATTATATTAAATTTTATTACAATCGGGGGCACGTTACAAGTGGCTATTATAGCCAAATAATATAGCCAAATAAATAATAAAATAATATATATTATATTATTTTATTATATTATATTAAATTGCATTATTGTACACCTACAGTAGTATTATATTATAAAGAGCATAAGACGAGACAGCTCTCACCAGGCGGCATGGAGAACCTTTTCCTGACGCGCGCGGCCAGCCAGAGGCCCAGCAGCAGCGTTGCTAGAAGCGCTGCAGAGATCATCTGAAATATAATGTTATGCTGAAATATTTAACGCAAATTTTATTTAAGAATAATAGTAATGACAAACTGACTGAGTGCACATCTCATACGAGCTGAACATTTATATGCACTGTTCCACAAATAAAAGTTTAATAGAAGTTATTTAAATGTTACAATTTTAAAAACTTTGTTTTTGAGAAAACGATTGAACCCGTTTCAATCCGCCCCATGTTTCTTAATTTTCATTAATCTTGAATCTTGTATCCCCCAGGCAGTTGAAGTGATTAATTTGTGTCATTTATTCTTAATTTTTAAAATTTAATTTGTTTTCCCGGTATGAATAAATTTGTGAAGCGCAAACTTGGTGTCTGTTTGTACATTTCGAGAGGCTGGTTCAGCGCTATGGCCCTGATAGCATCGTTGAAGCTCCGAGTATGAACATCTTCAAAAACCGACTAGACGAAGCTATGCAGGAGCATATGTTCAGTCTTAAAATGCCTAGCAAGTTACGGACCAGGCAATAAGTCCAGCAGCTATCTCAATCAATCGTCAGTTATGGAAAGATCGGGTTCCAAAGGCCGGATCCCTTGTGAATCAAGTCACGAAAAGTTCAAGAATCGGCAACAGGCCATGGGCCTATGTCTTCAACGCCGACACTTCTATTCTATTCTATTCTATAGGATTTCTTCACTAGTCAGGTTCCTCGTATCTTCAGTGGTAAATGAGATGAAAGGCAAAGATGTTTGTTCAATTCCTGCAATTAATTTGCGGTCGAGTTCAGTTTTTTGTACAATATGTAGATTCTGTAGAGTAATAGTTTTTTTTTCAATATAAAATGTTAGCTACTGAAATAAATTGATCTTACGACTCGTATTTCAGACATATGTATTTGTATTAGCTTTCTTGATGCAGATTTTTATTGTCAATAAATCAGCTTAAGACAAATATACTATATTAATTAACTCAACTCCCTAATATCTTTTACAAACGCTGGAAGCCCATAGGAAATGTTGAAACTTCAAGATCATAAATACCTCACAACATCACAGTACTTTAATTCTGTGTTTCTACTTGTAATCTCTACCCACAAGTTTGCAATCTCTACCCACAAAATACTGTACTGTACTCTCAGTTTGTTAATGAAAACCGCCTTACCATGGTCAGAAAAACAACTTGTAATGTTTGATAACCACGTAATAACTATGTAGGTTTTTCAATACCGCCAGAAAGTTTTCATTTCCTTTCCTTCACAAAAAAAGATCGTTTCTACTGAAGGTTTGTGACATAAGTGCTGTGGTGACTCGAGTGGCATTACCTTGAGCTGAAAACCGTCCGTTTCTTAAATCCACCTCCTTGACGCAAGTTTTGTTCGTTAGATTCACCAATAAGCATTTACCAAACGATTTTTCTATTTGCTATAATTCTTCGCTTCTTTGCATCAAACAGTACACTATCTCAGATAACCTAAGTCTTCGCTCGGTTTGATAAGAACAATGAATATAAAAGTGCATCTTTAACGAAGAAAAAGATAGTACACATGATAGTGCTTGTAACGCCATTTAGACTTTACTCAACTCTTATCAAACGTAGCTGATACGTTTAATAAAAGAACTATTTTGTTGAAGTACCCAGCTGCATTGGCATGAATGGATGGGCTTGATGCACACAGCAGGTGCATGTGTCGTGATGTGTGCCGCAATGATCAGCGTAAATTAAGGAACAGCTTAAACTGAGCTAATCAATGACGAGAGAGATTCTGCTGCAGCATTGCTAATAAACACTACACAAATTTATCCGTAGAAAACAGGGTAAAATAAGCTAAGAAAACTATCAACTGTGACGTTGAAATTGGAAAATAAATTAATTTCAATTTTTCAGGAATATAGCTGTTGGATACAAAGTTGCTTTTATAGCGTAGACAAAATTTTTAAACATTATCATGCGTAAAATTGACACACGGTTGCAGCATATAAATAATATATAAATGGCAGTGAGCTACCCAAGAATCTAATTCTCATTAATGAAAATTATTAACATTATCGAAAATCAAATAACTCCCAGTAATAGTGAATAATATTTTCGTTATTTACAATCAAAAGTTTACTAAATATTTTGTGTTACGTCAAATCTAAACAACGTTGGTAACTGACCTTGTGCAGACACGGAGCAACCGACTACTAACAACCGCACTGCGCTGCTCCTTGCAGCCGACTGCCGCGGAGTGCCGCCATCGGCGCCATGTGTGGCATATTTATGTGCGCATTTATCTACTGATAACATATTTACGTAAGAACTTTCTCTTATTTACGTAAGAACTTTCTCAAGGACAAATTTTTATTATTGATTCTTTCATTTAACAAATTTATTCTAATTGTTGATTAACTGTTCCCATTTGGTGATTTAAAATGATGATATGATAAAATTATGCCGTCCGACTCATACTTCTCTACGCCCTTTATCTTTAAAGAATTAATACATTTTTCTGTTAACTGTTGCTAATTGAGTCGTCAAATATCAAAAAGCAATAAATAATTAATGTTCATTTTTTTAATGTGACGGAAAATAAACACGTCAAACTTATGAAAATAATTCGTTCGAATTTTGTTTAACAAATTGACACCTAAAAATATTTTTCCTCTATTTTATCATATAACTTATTTCTAGAAAATATTGTAAGATAATTAAAGATCGAGTTAAGCGACACAAATAAGAAGGGAGCGCACCAAACATTTCTCAGGACCGCCATCATCCAATAACTCAACCTGACCCTGACTGGCCATGAACAATTATTTCTCTGGGTTGCTCGTAGCTTTTGATCAATAGCTCGATAAATCATTGATAATTAACATGATAATTGTTATGATAATAACAATGATAATAATTTACATGATCTGATAATTAACAGTTCAGATGTGAATTATAGGTTGACAACTCAACTGATTGATCAAAATTATAAGTAAACTTGATATTATCATTCACAATTTTATAATCATGAAGCGTCATTTTATGCCACCGAGCTATTGTTTCATAACACTTGAGCACGAATCATGTTCAATATAATAATAAATAATAATAATAATAATAATAATATTAATAACAATAATAAAAATAATAATAATAATAATAGTGGTTTCAGCGTTTATTAGGCCATAGGCCTGTCGCCGATCCACAGCTTGTTGCGGTCTCGAACTCACAACTCACTGATTCAAATTCTGCTGTGCTTAGCCGCCCGGCCTCCTTGCCGATTCTGACCTGAAACTGGCGCACAGAGCTGGGATCGAACCGGCGCCTCTCTGCGCTAATCTTGGTACTCTGAACTGTAACCACTGGGCCACCCTGCCCATATACCACTGGGCCACCCTGCCCATACCACTGGGCCACCCTGCCCATACCACTGGGCCACCCTGCCCATGCGACTGGGCCACCCTGCCCATACCACTGGGCCGCCATGCCCATAACACTTGTTCATTGTTTTAAGATTTCATAAAATTTTTATTATACCTTCATGAAAAAATGTTTAAATCTTCATTATTTTCTAGAGCTTTCGAATCAATTCATTTTTATTAGAACTCAGATGCCCATGCTTTTGTCGCGCTTTATAATTCTACATTCGAAGTCTGCTACTAATGCTCCGTTTGCACTGCCCTCCTGCACTGACCCCCCTACACTGCCCTTTTGCACTGTCACACCACACCTTATGACCTTATGATGAGTTTAGGACTTCGTAGTCCACGGGCAAGCTGATGCTCCGCCTCCGTCGTCCTCCGTCTCCGAGTCGTCGCTATATGCAGGTCACCCCGCCCTCGGGTCTCGGATGTAACGTTGGACGTGTTTCGTCTATTTGCCCTCCTTCGGGCCAGCTGATGCAAGATGATGTTGCTTGTCACTTGCTGAGGGTGGTTTCTCATTACTGGACAATCCGTGATCTTTCTCAACCTATTGTCCAGTCGTCTCTTGAATGTTGCAAGGTTGAACTCCCCTCCTCTCAGCACTTTTGACAAGGCATTAAAGAGCCTCGGCCCTATCAGGGACAGTGATCCCTCACGAAGAGTCTGTACTCAGGCCGCGTCTCGGTTGTTAAATGGGGGAATCCTGCACAGATGGCCCATCCTTTTGTTGTATTGTGTCACTATTTTGGAGGTCTCACATTCAAAATTGGGAGCCAGTCCGGTTATCATCTTCCTAGTGTCCAGCAGTATGATATACCTCTCTCTTCTCCTTTCATGTGAGTACAGTCCCAAGTGTTTCAGCCTTTCCCAGTAGTTCAGGTCCAGCTCCCTCATGCCGCTGATCCTGTACGTGAAGGTCCGCTGCACTGCCTCTAGTTTTCGCACCGCACCCGCCTTGAACTATTTGAAACCTGACCCCAGAGGCTATGAGCTAAAAGCTACGTAATTCAACGAAGCGTCGGAACGACAGAATTCATGCAGTTTCACTGGCGAGTTAGGCTGATTGATGGCAGTCCGTTGTCCGCTAGTTATAGTTTGAGCTAAATTCAGGGTATGAAGGTATTATTCGATGTAACGTTCAGTGGTGGACGATCATTACACTCTGGGCCATTTGCTCCAGAAAATGGCGGCGGAAAGCTCTTGATATTTAAAACATGATGATCCTTTGGGCTGCTTACTGAGGGCAGGATTAATACGTGGCTGCTTGGTGGCCTTACGGAAATATGCTAGGCGTTCTATTCGGGGCTGATTGGTGCACAAAATTGGTGGCGCACGGTTGCGCTCTCGCGAACAGGGGCGGCTATTAGCGCCCCTGTTATTAGCGCCCCAAGTGTGACTGCATGTGCTACATCTTTGGAATCTGAGCACCGTAAAAATGCAGCGGCCGCACGAGCTACCACTTCAATTTAAAAACGAACTGGCATTCTATTAAAAAGTGAATCCACACAAGTTATAATTGACCAATGACTATGAGAAGATCTTAATTTAGGAGTATCTCTACACAAAATTTTCATTGATGTTGTAAGGGGAAAAATTCATTTTTTTCCGGTTGAATTCCGATTCCGGTTGAATTTTATGTTATCGTTGTTTTAGGTGCAAGGCAATGAGAGCCGAAAAATTATTTCGCACGTTTTTTTTAAATGGAAAGTTTTGTAACAAAACAGATGAAGTCCAACAAAGAACTGTAACTATTTTTCGACATTTTCTCCTCCAATCATTAATATTCAAAAAATGTGTATAACAGTTATTTTAGTAAAAATTTCCTTCAATTCATTCAGTAAAATCTCGAAACCACCACCCATGATTGAACTAGTGAAATCGAACGGCCACTCGTCGAAATAAGATAAATTTTGGATCAGAACTATGCTATCTGAAACCTAACCTCAGATGCGGTGAACCTGAAAAAAAATGTAACGATGCCCGGAAACCTCTCGGATAAAAACGCGGCCTGTCTCACGGTCGGCCTCACGGCCGTGCCTCAAGAAATTCATCGTACATGGAATTTCTTCCAAACTACTGAAGTCATACTCCATCCGCGGCCTGATGATGCACGGCAGGTTTTATGCAAGGCCGGATGAGGACAAATTCGAGTGGTTCACGGCTGATTGGTGGATGTCCGGAGAGATCCAATGCGTTCGATTCAGGGCTTATTGGTGCACAAAATTGGTGGTGCACGGCTGCGCTCCCGTTGAGTCAACCTTATATAATTCAACTATGACCACCACCAACCATGGAACAACCTAATGGTGTGAACTCTGAAGTCTGTAATACTTTTGCCTTAGTGGCGGAAGGTTTAATTACGGCTTTCTTGCGTACCCGCTGAGTCCGACCTATTTGCTCCTGTCCGGACGTGAGAAAGTGAGAATGTAAGATGCGTGGTCGTACCGTCGTGGTAGAGAACTCATTCCAGTGATCGACGGTTTCGTTTGTTCGTTCATGGTGACAAGACGTGTGGTGCTATCGCTTAACAACCAAAGTTCTCGGTGTCGTAGACAAATCTGAAACCCAGTGCAAATCTATAAATACTAGTGCTTACCGAATAAGTGTGAAGAACAATCAAAGGTGAAAGGTATCAATAGGTATGGCTGAATCATCGTCAGGCCCCAGCCTGACAGAAGAGCTCTTCTCTGAAGCAGGTATGGTCGTATGGACACGTCTGAGTTTGCCGGCTTCCCTTCCGACTTACCTGTGATAGGAAGACCTGCCAAGATAAAGAAGCCCAGACTTCAATGCCATGCCAAACCTGTTCTTTCATCAACTTTTTCAGAATCTGCCTCAAACAACACCACCCAGTTTGAAACACTGCCTGTCACTGCTGTCAGTCACTCATCTACCACCTTTCTTCTGTTACGAGAAGATAAAAAAGCCTTGCCATTCAATTTCTATGCCCAAATCTCCAAAAGCTGGCCAGCATTACAGTTCATCAAACCCGATACGGTAGTCTCAGCCGAAATATGAAGGGCACCCTAATCACTGGGGAAGTACTGGCCAATAAAGTAAACCAGTTTAACAACTCAGAGCACCACTATGAACACAAGGGAATTAAATACAAAATTCGTATCCCTAGAGAGCCACCCATGTTCCAAGGGGAAGTAATATTTGATATTTTGATTTCTCAGATATAGAGGACAAGTACCTTCTGAGCTACACCAAAGATGAACTCCTAGCTGAGCTTACTCTCCCTGCAAACCAAAATGCAAATAAAATCCTCTCGGTTGAAAAGCTATACCCAAGCCATGTAGTTGCAGATCCAAACAACAGCAATTTTCAAGCAATGCGCATTGCAATAGAGTGCTCCTCGGCAGTACCAGACAAGGTATTCTTCAATTATGTCTCACTTAAAGTACACTCCTACCTTTCCCCTCCGCCCCGCTGCTACGGTTGCCAAAGATTCGGCCACGGTTCCATCTCCTGTCGAAGACTAGCAGTTTGCGCCCGCTGCTCCTCCCCTGACCATGCCGTGCAAAACTGCAATGCTGAAAACCCATGCTGCGCTTCATGTAAGGGCCCCCAAGCCCCCCATCCAGCATGCACCTCTCCTCGTTGTCCTATATACCAAAAGGCGATGGCAATCTCCACCCGCGTTGCATCTAGAGTTCTTTCCCGCAAGATGGCCGCAAAGGATTATGCAGCTCTGTACGTGCAAACAAAAACCCAACCTAGTCAGCCCTCTTCAAGAAACACGATGCAGACCAGCTATATACCAGGGACCACTGTTGTACCTCCACCAAAGCTTGCAGAAAACTTGGCTCCAAACCCGACGCC